CCGCGCTCGGGCTCCCGCCCCGTCCCTGCGCCCGGAGCCATGGCCAGCGGCACAGGGGATGGCGGCAACGCCCGCTTGAGCATCGCCTCCCAGTTCTTCACCCAGGAGGAGGGCAGCGGCACGGACAGCATGACCACCTCGGAGAGGGTGCGTGGGGAGCAGGCAGGGAAGGCTGGCTCCCTTCTGGCCATGTGTCACAGGCCCAGGGGTTGGGGAACGAGATACAGGGTCTTTCCCCTCCGCCGGCTCTGCTCCAGCCCCAGGTCGGGGGAGTACCTGGGACCCAAGTTCGGGAAAAGTTAGTCTGGTCACCTGCCTTGTCAGTTACAGTCCACTTTCCATGTGCATAGTGAAGGTCTAAATGTTGGGGCTACATGATGTGCTCCCCAGTGATCTCCCTGCAGTGCACTACGTCTTTACAGGCTCTGGCTAGCTCTTGTGAGGCCGCATAGTCTGGGGAGAAGGCACCTGTCTGGGTCTTCACAGACCTGGCTTCCCCCCTGCCCCTGCTCTTCTGGGACCCTTTGGGCAGACCCCTTCCTCTCCCTGGGGCTGGCTCCCCTTCTGCCTGTCTTGTCTGTGCAGCTTTTATCCCAAGGCCACTGACGCTGGGTGGGGATGTGATCCGTTTCCTGGTATATTGCACCGGTGCAACCCTGGCGTGGGCTATTCCCCTCCCCCATGCCAACAGGGTATGGCGGCCTCCACGCTGGAGGGAAACTAGACTGGTGTTGGCAGAGCCCTGGATCGCTGAGGGGGTAGATTGGAAGCCCTTTGGGGCAGGGACTATCTCTTGCGATGTCTGTTCAGCGCCTGGTACAATGGGGCCCTGATCTCAGGGGCTCTAGGCACTACCATAGTGCTAGTGGGATGGGTGTCTGTCACCAGGATAGCCATCGGCATTTGCCATGTACCCCTCCCAAGCTACCGCGGGCCACCCCCCCGTTCTTGCCAACTGCCCCCTGTCCCCGCAGGCCGCCCCTCTGTTCCCACCAGAACTCCTGGCCTGGTTGCCATCTCTGCTTGTGCTGTCCTGTTGTGCTGCGTGAGCAGTTATCTCTGAACTGTCGTGAGCTCTCAGCCTCGCTTGGCCCTTGGGTGTGACCAGTTTGATCGTCTTGGGAGGGATTCCTTAGAGCCAAGCTGCCCTCGAGTGCCCTGGTGCTTCCTCACGGGCTCCTCTCTCTGCAGGTGGTGGATCTGTTAAACCAGGCTGCCTTGATCAGCAATGACTCTAAAATCACCATCCTCAAACAGGTGAGCAAGAACGCTACCCCCCCTCCCCGCAGGAATGGGATGACACCAGGCTGGGAGTGGAGGACGCTGGGAAATCAGAACCCACCATATGCCCCTGGCTCACTCCACCCTGCACAGAGCCCCTCATGTCACAGTGGGTGGGTCCATGGGGCAGGGCACTCCACGGGGGGGTGGGCAGATGGGCAATGGCTGATGCTGCAAAACCTCTCCACTGGTTCAAGACTCACCTGCTGTCCCTGCTTTCCCCATAGGTCCAGGAGCTAATTATAAACAAGGACCCCACGCTGCTGGATAACTTCCTGGATGTGAGTAGCCGTGGGCGTGCCGGGGCGCCCCTAGGAACTGCCTTTCCTGACTCTCCTTGTGCCCATGCCAAGGGCTGATGCCGTATCACTGGCACTGATACCCCTTCGCTCAGCAGCCCCCTCCCCATGGCAGCTGAACGAGGCGGAGAATTCCTCTGACTTGCCGAGCAAAGGACACGACAGAACATCAGCTCCCTGCTCAGTGGGCCCACAGCTTGGGGGCTGAGGTGTGGGGGGCTGCCCAAAGCTGGAGCCCCAGATGCCCGTCAAGCCTGGGCAGTGTCCGACGTAGACCCGAGGAGTGTGAATATTCTCACCCGGGCCTAACCTAAAACTTTCCGCAGCCTCCGCCCTGTGCCTCGTGTTCCCAGCCCCGCTCTGCCCTGCCCCCTCCTCTTGGCCAGCTCTGCTGCCTGCTGGGCAGCTGGGGCCAGCCCTGACCGCCTGCCTCTCCGGCTGCAGGAGATCATCGCCTTCCAGGCGGACAAATCCATCGAGGTGCGCAAGTTTGTCATCGGCTTCATCGAGGAGGCCTGGTAAGGACGGCTTGGCTGCTGCACCCTGGAGCCCCTGGCTGTAACCTCCCTTCCCACTGTGTAGATAGCTCTGCTGCCTGCTGGGCAGCTGGGGCCAGCCCTGACCGCCTGCCTCTCCGGCTGCAGGAGATCATCGCCTTCCAGGCGGACAAATCCATCGAGGTGCGCAAGTTTGTCATCGGCTTCATCGAGGAGGCCTGGTAAGGACGGCTTGGCTGCTGCACCCTGGAGCCCCTGGCTGTAACCTCCCTTCCCACTGTGTAGATTCACTCCCCACAGGCTGCAGCAGCTGGGAGCGCTCCCACCCCACTCCCTGCGCTCGCTTATCTCCAGCTAAGGTCCGTGCTGTGAGCAGGCCGGGAGCGGGGCCGGTAGGTTACAGCTGGGGCTGTGAAGAGCCAGGACTCCTGGTTCTGTTCCCAGCAGGGGGAGGGGAGTCCAGTGGTTAGGAGCCAGGACTCCTGGGTTCTGTGCCTTGATCTGCCTTTGACTCCCGGTGTGACCATGGCAAGTCGTTCCCCCCCACCCTGCCTCAGTTTCCCTGCCAGTACAAGAGGTAAGGGGTCCATGGAAGCCAGCTGCGCTGTTCCTGGGCTGCTCGCCTCGCC